ATATTAACCACTCCAGTTTAAAACTGGTGTGGTTTATATGTTTTATTATAGCTTGGAGTACTCCATTAACAACCCTAATTACAGTATTAAAATCGGAAGATAAACACTCTTTAGTTTCCTGCATTTAAAAAAAACCAGTACAATTTATTTTTTCCTTTTTATAAAATATATTCGTTTCTAAACATTTTAGAGTATAAGGATCCATTTCAGTTGTTGTCCACTAGGTCACTAACCCGATTTTTCTATGTTTACGAGGAATTTACATCTAATTTGCTCAAATTTTTTAAACGTGGTAAGTATTTTATCAACAGAGAGCAATTTTGTGACTCAGGCATTTAAACATAGAATAAAACATGTAAAGTTTTTGTGCTAAAAATCGAATTTTATTATTTTTTTCCCTTTTTTGCAAAATAGGTTTATTTTCATACATTCTAGAATATAAGGGCCCGCTTCGATTATTGTCTACTAGTGGTGCCGATTGGGATTTTCAAGAGGCACCTGACTTACAAGAAATTCTAAAGAGGTCACTAACCGAATTTTTCTATGCTTACAAGAAAGGCAACAGAGACAAGAAAAGCTCTCCTCTATTTACTATTATGGGTGGTGCAGGTATTGGAAAGTCAAGACTTCTCATGGAATTGCCACAAATAGCTCGATCTGTAGTCGATAACGATGAGTTAAAAAAACGCCTTGACAATGCATTAATATTCAACATAAGCTTCGAAAATGGAACAAGTTACTCTCCAAATAGAGAGAAAGATCCATTAATTGCAATTGGTATACGAATGTTATGGCAGTTACAACCAAAATCTGACATGGATTTTACAAATTTCTAAGATGCAAAAAGCATCATTTGACTCCATATACCATACTAAAACGTATTGCTCATTCTAGACATCAAAAGATTAGTGATCTAACGGTATTTTTGTTGCTTGATGGTGTTCACAGTCTAATGGAAAATTCCAATGATGGGTTGGACAAAGATAGCAAATTTCATTCATGCCTTTCAGAAGTAACGAATCTTATAATTACTTCTAAATCATTCATTATTGGATGCTGCTCTGCAACAAGTATGAAGCCCATGAGGAATATTTTAGCAAGATCTCGACAATTACGTATTCAATTGCCTATTCCACAACTAAAGGCTCCTAGCCGTTCCCATAAACCGGTATTTGATATGGAGAAACCCCTCGTGAAGATTCTTGTTGGAGATATGGGTGGTAATGGTCGTGCACTGGAAGCATTAGAGCAAGTGATCCCATCAAATTTTGATGATCGTTGTATTAGTGACATTGTTCATCAGTTGCTTATGAAATTAAAGAAACTTTATTCAGATATTTTTGATAATGCTGACTCTTACAAAGAATTATTACGAGTAATTTTGAGTAACACACCACTCAGTATTAATTGTCCTGTACCAGGTACTAATCTTCGCCCAGATCAATTTGCTGAGATGGGTTTGGTTCGTTTTGAAGCTGAACAAGATAGCGCGTTGGGCAGGTTGACTTGCCCTTATGTGTGGGTATGGTTGATGGCACGTGCGGTTAATGATCCAATTCTTTTAAATTGGAGATTTGATGATCATGATGAAATCCAACACCTCCGTAATCCTGAAAAAGTCTCACTAGGTGCATAGCTTTGGCAGAATTTCGAACGATTTGCAGCAGACTTTCGAGTATTAAAATCAGGGATATATAAAGAAAGAGTTGAACTTTCTATCCACACAATACATCCCGGTAGTGCATTTGACTCATGCATAGATAATGACATTTATCTCAAGTCTAGGCCACTAAAACTTGTTTATTCCTCAGAACAAATTAGTACGAAGTCCAATAGTATAGCTTCTATTATACATGAAAATGGAACAATAAATGCAACTGATGGACAACACTTGATTATAAACGGTGAAGGTGCTCCTGCTGGTGATATATTTTGTTACATTACAGAAAAAACATCCATAGGGCAAGAAGGAAATATCACCGAGGTCTTACAGATAAAGAAGCTTGATCGTAAAACCAATATATCACTCAATACATATCTTGAGGAAAGACATAAAGCTGCTGGCAAAAATGACATATTCCTTTTAATAACGACCGGAAAAACTCAAATAAATTCTTCACAACTTCCTGCACGTTCGGGGATAGTTCATCAAAAAAATTGGAAGGAATATTTTGGCCCATTTGCTGGCAGAGCATTCATTTATGCAAACGTAGAACCACCAGATATTAATACAGCAAGTCGTTGTTGGCTTTCTGGTATCGGTGGTATTGGCCACAAATATGCTGATATTATAATTAAGAAACGACCCTATCAATCATTAGAGGATTGCCATCAAAAGACTGGTATCGCACTTAAAATTCTTAAGCAGTGCAACTGTATAATCAATCGTACTAATAACAATGATGGTTTTACTGAAGCAATAAGATAACTAACGTCTATTTTCTATCCAATACATTAACACTCTTTTTTAATAGTCTATCCATCAACTTATCTTTCTGTAAGTCATTTAAATAAATGCTCAACTAATACAAAAGGCTTTATTAAAATGTGAAGAATAATTCTGTACTTAGCTGTAATGTCTAATTGTTTAATAAATCAATCCTATTAATGCTTAAATTAACCGATCCAAGAGGTCTTAACTAAGGAAGCTAAATAGTTATGTCTCAGATGGTAAAATGCGCATTTTGAGCCATGCCACGCTTGGGGTATTCGGGATTTTATATATAGTTTCAGATTTCGGGTCACTAGTATAAAGTTCTCCCCGACCCCACACTGCCTTGAAGATTTTAGGTAGCTGTCCCACAAAATTTTTTCCACCCCTGAAATTTTGACCAATCAAAATTTAAGATCAAGTGTAACGTGATAGTCAAAACAAATTTGTTGTTTTCTAAGTAAAAAGTTGCGTGTAAAATTAAATCCAGGAAAACCGCGTTAAAGTTAGAGTTATAGTTAGAAGAATATGACAGCTATTACAGTCGGGCACATTACCAAAAAAGGGGGTCGTCTAAAGCGGAGGCACATCATGTGATCAACAGCCAATCAAATGATAGAATTTTGATGATCG